ATTGAGACTCCTATTCCTCAAACAACCATCACTACTGCTTGGACTGGAAACTCCACCACCACTGTCACCAGAAACGGAACTGACGGCACCAACACTTTAGTAATTGAAACTCCAGTTCTACAGACAACCGTCACTTCTGCTTGGACCGGTAACTCTACCACCACTGTCACTAGAACCGGTGCCGATGGAACCAACACTGTCATCATTGAAACTCCAGCTCCAAAATCGAGTACAACCGTTACTACTTCATGGACTGGTAGTTTCACTACCTTTACTACCGCCACTGGCTCGGATGGTGTTGAAACTTTGATCATCGAAGTGCCAGTTTCAACCGGCATTCAAAGCTCTGTCGTCACTTCAATACCAAGCAGTTCTAGAAGACTTCCTTGGAATTCCAGCTCCATAGAACGTTCCAGTGGTATTGATACTACTTCGCCATCTTCTTCGGTTCACTTAACTACTATTTCGTCATCCTCCCCTTCGGTTGAATCTTCAAGTCTCATTTCAAACTCAATTAGCCCTTCTTCGTCTTTGATTTCATCCGCAACTCATTCTCCAGAAACATCTAATTCTGCTGCCCCTCCCTCGAGATCTGGTGGATACCATGGAATTCCAGCTAGTACTGTTGACTCGACTACCGTTACATTGATTCCAACCCCAAGCAATGTTTCCACTGATTCTAGTGCAACCGTTACACTGGTTTCTTCAAATTCTAGTCCAGAACAAAATGGCAACCCAGTAACCAGTATGGTATCCAGTAGCAGTCACCCAGTTGTTTCTGCATCAGCATACATACCTTCGATTGCCAGTTATGAGGGTTGGGCATCGAGACCTCAAGCTTCTAAGCTCTTGTTTGCATTGCTTCCATTATTCGCATTCTAATTCTGNTCAAATGCAATTCCAGCATTTTATATTATTTCGGTATCTAAAAATTCAATTGATAGATTAAATATTTTCAAAAATCTTACTGTATTCGTTTTTTTTCACACGGCCTGAGTGAACTAAGGCACCTTTTCATATTGGGAAGATAGAATGTTGATTCTTGCTCAAAATATTTAGTACGAAACTTTTAGATACTTACATCAGATTTTACCCCGTGTGTCACCTGACTGATGGAAGCACGTTAACTGATAGCATCGATAA